CGCCAGCAGCGACGCTCGCGAGATCTTCGATATCCGCTGCTGCTGGGCGCGGGCGGGTTCGCGGGGGCTCGGGGTCTGGGGGACAAGTGATATCGCGCAGCCGATGGAGCAGTATCCGGGCCCACATTCCCGGTGGAGGGTTCCGAGTGGGCAAAGCTGCAGAGTCCCTTTTCCTTCACTTGTCACATCTCATTCGCTCCATCAATGACCCGGAGCATCCACTGACGCTAGAGGAATTGAACGTAGTAGAGCAAGTCCGGGTTCAGGTGAGTCACTCCCAGCGTCCGAGGGGGGCGACTTGTTCGGGGGAGTTAGGTCAGTTGTGCACCCAGGACGCTCATTCTCCGGCTCACAGACACCTACCAGGATCTTTGAAAAGAATTGTGCTCATTTTATAGATAATATACTGAAGCCCATAGAGGCTAGATGTCATGCCTAAACCAATAAACTAAGAAGACGGGCTCTGGGATTGGCCGTGACCCTTGTCATCTCTTCCCTCCCACCCCAGGTTAGTGACCCCGAGAGCACAGTGGCTGTGGCCTTCACACCCACTATTCCACATTGCAGCATGGCCACACTTATTGGCCTGTCCATCAAGGTTAAGCTTCTGCGCTCCCTTCCCCAGCGTTTCAAGGTCAGTTATATCTTAGTCCCAGGAGGGTGGAACAAGGGTAAGCATGGTGTGGGGAGGACATGAGAGAGGCACCGAGACAGGTCCATCAGAGATGAAACTGGGGTGAGCTTTCCAAGTTGATGTGACAGGAAGAATAATGATCTGAGCTACAAAGTGCAGAAAAGTAGCGAGAAATGTGGGGCTGGCTCCGTAGCCTAGTGGTTAAGGTAGCCTTAATCCCACATGGGTGACTGCTGTTGGAATCCTGCCAGCAGTAGCTTGCAAAACATGCCAGGGAGCCAGCAGCTGGGTGGTATAGTGGTTAAGGCAGCTGGATCCCACATGGCTGACCACAGTTCAAGTCCCAGACCTGGTGTCTTGAAAATCACATCAGGTGTGTGTGCACGCATACCCAAAATCCTGAGAGGAGAATGGAGGAGAAGAGATTGCAATGTGACCACCCCCCTGGGGGATGGCTTTTTACTTTCTCTCTCTCTGTCCCTCTCCTCTCTGGCAAATGCACATGCCCTTAAAAAAAAAATTGTACATGTTCATGTATGCCCCAAATTCAGACTGGATAGAGAAATGGAGAAGAGATTGCAGTGTAACCACACCCCAGTAGGGGGTGCTTTCTCCCTCCTCTGTCTGTCCATTTCTCTGGCAAGAATACTTTCCCTCAGCAATTAAAAAAGTAGTGAGGAGTGTGGCAGGCAGGGCAGCAGGGAGCTGTAGATGGGTTTGAGCTAGGCTGGGGTACAGTCAGGTCTTCTTATCAACAGTAGTTGGTCAGTTCTTTGGGTACAGTTGGAGTGGCAGTGGATGGGGTATAGTCCAGAGGCATGATAATTAGGAAGAAGGATCAGATGAACATGGTGCCTGTGGGGAGGAGGGGGCGAAAGCGTGGACAGAAGTGTATATTCTCAGACTCCGATCATTCCTCTCTCAGATGGATGTGCACATTACGCCAGGGACCCATGCCTCGGAGCATGCAGGTAATTGTGGGCTGGTGGTGTGTTGGCTTGGGGTCTGGAGCTGTCTGAGGCTTTCCCCTGCACAGTGGTTTGTGGGGAACGATTGAGGATTAAGGGGCTGGTTGAGTGAAAGCTGATGGAACTTCAATGTCCTGTGCTTACGTTACCCACCAACCCTCATCTCCTCTCCTAGGGACACAAGATCAGAGGTAGCCATGAGCAGTGTGTGTGGGGGGGCTCCACAGAAGACAGGATGGGTGTGGCACAGGTGGTTGGGGTACCCTAATCAAGGTTTGGGGTCCTTGGAAGAGGTGACAGGAGGGGCTTGTTAGTGGGGCATAGCCTGTACAAAGGTGAGGCTGGCCGGTAGTCTGCCTTTGACCCTGCCTTTCCCACTCCTTCCCACTTAGTGAACAAGCAGCTTGCGGATAAAGAGCGGGTGGCAGCTGCCCTGGAGAACACCCACCTGCTGGAGGTTGTGAATCAGTGTCTGTCAGCCCGCTCCTGAGCCTGGCTTTTGGCCCCCTCAGCCTATGCCCTGGTGTCCTGGCCCCAGCTCCACTCAAGACTCATGGCTTTGTTTTGTTGAATCAGTGGTAATGAGAAACTAACACTTTACATTTTGTAATAAACCCCTAATTTATATTTATTTTCCAGCATGCCTCAGTGTCTTTCATCTTGGTGGAGTCACTTGGGGTTTGGGAGGGGGTAGTGGTAGTGAGTGCCTATGAAGGAATGGTCCATGAGGTACAGTTCATTTATTGACTTTAAAAACTTCACTGTTCTGATTATGAAAAGTTGCAAGTATACCAAAACAATTTTTTTTTTTGAAAGAGCAATAGTGTAAGAATATACCTGTGTATGCACCACCACTAGTCAGCATTTGTCAACATGTGGCAACACTGGCCTTGTTTGTGTCTTCGTAAGAAATACATTTGAGGGAACCAGCAGTTAGCGTAATGGCTATGTCGCTGGACTCCCACGTAGTCGACCGCGGTTCGCGGCCCGGACCTGGTGGCTTAAAACTCACACCGGGCGCGTGTGCGTGCATGCCCAAGATCCCGACAGGAGAATGGAGAAGGGATTGCGGCGTGACCATCCCCCCTGGGGGGTGATTTCTCGCTTTCTGTCTCTCTGTCTCTCTCTGTCTGGCAAGCGTGCGCGCCCTATAGCGAAAACCTCTAAAAAAGAAAAAAGAAATACATTTGAGAGTAAGTGGAAGAGACGTGACTCTACTGCAAAGCACTGCATCCTACATTCATGTACAACTGAGTCTATGAAACCACAGTCTTTTCAGGACCAGCAGTTAATGTAATGGCTGTGTCACTGGACTCCCATGTAGATGATCGTGGTTCGAGTCCCAGACCCAGTGTCTTAAACTCATGCAGGGTGCGGGTGCATATATGCTCAAGATCCCAAAAGGAAAATAGAGGAGAAGGGATCGCAGTTTGGCCATCACCCCTGGGGGGTGATTTCTTGCTTTCTGTCTCTCTCTGGCAAGCTCACATGCCCTGTAGCAAAAACTTCTCCAAAAAAAAAAAAAAAAAGAAAAACATAGTCTTTTCTGTAAAATTTGCAGTAGGGCACATGAACTTGCTGGAGAGAGACAGAGAGAGATTGGGACAATGAGAAATCACCTCCCTGGGAGATGGCCACACTGCAATCCCTTTTCCCAGGATTTTGGGCATGTGAGCATGTGTGCCTGGTGTGTGTTTCACGCTGTTGGGTCCAGGACTTGAATGTGCAGTCAGCCATGTGGGATCCAGCTGCCTTAACCACCACACCATCGACTGGCCCTGTAACCACAGACTTTTATCTGGCAAAAAAACAATCAGTATCACCTGCTTTATAGTCATATGAATTTCCCCAAAGTGTCATTCTTAGCGTTTTTTAAAAAAAGTTTCTTTCTTTCTTTCATGACAGTGAAACAGAGAAGACAAGCACTTCTAACAGGGTCTCACAGTGTAGGCCGCCCCAGCCTTTCCAGTCAGCCGGGATCATAGACACTTGTGGTCTATATGGATCCAGCTCCCCTTGGGGAGTGGTTACATCACAAGTCAGCCCCTCTATTTCATTTTCATATTAAGCTTCAACCCAGGTTTATACTTTGCATTTAGTTATTACTCTTTAACTGCTCTAGAATTATCTCTTCCAACGAACATCTTTTTCTTGACTCCTCACTTTCTTGAAAAGTGCAGGTGAGTTGTCCTGGAGAAGTACCACAGTCTGATTTTTTTGTCTGCTGTGTTTCTTAGAGACTATTGGGTTGTTGGCAAAGTCATGACATATTTTTCTATGCATAAATGTGTCATGACTTTTCTGACAACCCAATAGAAGTTGGTCTAAAGGCCTGAATGAATTTGGGTTTGAGTTTTTTAGTTGGAAACCTGCACCAGAGTATTGTATATATCCTGTAACATCCACCAGTTGGTATGTGACCCACTGTTGGTGATGCTCAGTTTTGTTCCCTGGTAGAGCAGTGACGTCTATTTCTCTGTTGAAAGCAATCTGAGGCACCCTCTCCATCAGCCCTTCAGAGGTGCGTGTCACCCTGTGCCTCAGGTCTGAGGTCTGTGCCTCCAGGTCACCTGGACAGACTATGGGCTTAGGCCTTGGCTCAGCCCTGCCTCAGGATTCCCTGTCTCCATCTCTTTCTCTGGGAATGATGGGACCATTAGAAGCCTTGCTCTACCCTACCCCACTCCTGCGGAGGCTCAGATGTGACTGTGGGCAGAGATCTTGAGAAGCCTTGGCAGGGAACCTGGGCATTTGGTAAATCTGTTGAGGGCCCGCTGACAACATTGAGCTTGTCCCGAGCCCAGGGCTTTACACATAATATCTAGTTGGTCAGTCCTCTGTCCAGCCCTGGTGGTTGCCTTTTTTTTAATTTGCCAGAGGATGCCAGAAGAGAGAAAAGGGGGGGGGGGTGAGAAAGCACCCTCATGGGGTATGGTCACACAGTACCTTTCCTCTACCATTGCTCAATCTTGGGATTTTAGACACACAGGCACACATGTCCAGCGAGTCAAGCCTCCCAGTCCAGGACTCAGATTATGCAGTCACCACGTGGGATCTAGCCACCACTGGCTGGCCTGCTATTCTTTTTTATGTCCAATTTACAGGTGAGGAAATGGGCTTTTGGAATAATTTACTTCTTAAGACCCACTAAGGAGGCCAGCAGGTGATATGGTGGTTACGGTGCTAGACTCAACACGGTCAACTGCTGTTCAAGTCTCGGATCTGACAGCTTGAAAATCATGCCTGGTGCGTTTGTGCATTCTCAAAATCCCAGGAAGAGAATAGAGGAGAAGGGATTGGAATGTGGCCATCTCTGCTGAGGGATACTTTCTCACTTTCCCTCTCTGTCTCTCTGATGAGCATTCATACCCTATGAAAAAACCTTAAAAAACCAACAAACGAAAAACAAAAACAACCCTCCAGGGACCAGCAGATGGCATAATGGCTATGTCGCTGGACTCCCATGTAGTCGACGTGTTTCGAGTCCTGGACCTGGTGGCTTAAACTCAGACCAGGCATGTGTGCATGTGTGCCCAGGATCCCGAGAGAAGTATGGAAAAGGGATTGCGGCGTGACTGTCTTCCCTGGGGGATGATTTCTCACTTTCTGTCTCTCTGTCTTTCTGGCGAGCATACGTGCCCTGTAGCAAAAACCTCTCCATTATAAAAACCAACCCTCCAGCTAGGGAGTAAGGGGCAACCTGAGCGATTTGGCAAGTGCTGTTCAGTTGACAGGATGCTCCATAGAAAGACATATGACCACCCCCAGGCCCCGACCCCCAACTCTTACTGCCATCTCAGCTTGCTCTTGGGAGTGACTTTGCCACCTAATGACTGAGTGGTGGCTCTGGATCTGGCTGCCAGAATAAGAGGTGACACCAGCAGCCTGTTCCTCAGAGTTTCTTTATCTGTGATATGGGGATAGTCACGACAATCACCTGGGACAGCTCGGTGGAGATTTAAAATGGGTCTGGGTTGGGGCTATTAAGTGGAGGTAGTTAAGGGGCTGGGCTCCCACACAGTCGACCGCAGATCGAGTCCTGGACCTGACAGCTTGAAACTCACACTAGGCGCATGTGCGTGCATGCCCCAAATCCCAAAAGTAGAAGAGATTGCAGCGTGGCTGTTACCCCTGGGGGATCACTTCTCACTTTCTCACTTCATCTCTCTGTTTTTCCAGCAAGTGCATGAGCCCTGTAGCAAAAATCTCTCTCCTCCAAAATATTAAGTAAGTAAGTAAGTCTGGCCTATCTCAGATGATCTTCCTGGCATTGTATCCTCTAGTTCCACAGATGAAGAAGCTGAGTGTTCTAAAGAGACAGTGCAACCAACCAGGGTGACTAGGCCTCAGGGAGCCTTCCTTAGCTGTAGGACTCACCACATGTGTGTATGTCTGTCTTAACTGTCCCTTTCTGTCTAAGGTAGCCCCAGTGGCTGTGTTCAGCTGAGGATGGGGGAGTGGGGGGAATCATAATGGAGGCAGGTGTTGCTGAGTCATTAAGCTGGCCCTCCTGGCAGCCAGGCCACCCTGGGTGAGAGACATCAAGCTACTTATGCCACAGCTGGCATATCAGCTAGTCCCCTTGTCAGTCTTGAGTCATCTGTGCATGGCCCCTGGCTGCCTGCAGGGACGCCATCTGTGCATACTGGGCTGGTACCCAGGGAACTTTCTGGAACTCTGGCTGCTGTCTGAGGATACAGAAGTACTAGGGGTGGTCACGTTTGAAGTTCCTGAAATCTTACATCAGGTATGTCTGGGTCTGCTCTTCCTATCCTGCGACCCCTCAGGCCTTGAATGCCATGTCTACAGAATGGGAACAGCACATCATGGTTCAGTGAGACTGATCCAGGGATTAGATGACGTATCAGCATGCCCAGCTGTGTCTATTTTGCCTATCATTGTGCCCCCAGCACAAAGGCCTAGCACATAGTAACAGTACAGGTCGGTGGCATAAATGAATGAACTGAGCCTTAGGACAACCGAGGGGGACTGAATGGTGGCACAGTGGTAAAATGTGATGCTCTGTGAGGCTGATCCACATGGGAAGGTGGCATGGGGCTGGCTGAGGCTGGGGGTGGATCGTGGCGTTAAGCCCCTGTCTCTGTTTCTGCCTCTCTCTCGTGGAATAATAAATAAACTTAAAAAAAAAAAAAAACCGGAGCAGAGGCCCTGGGGTATGGGGGCTGTGGCATGAAGAGGTGCTGGGGACACTAAAGCTCAGCCAAGTTTTCTTAACATTTTGTTTCCTGAGTGAGCATGGGTATGTCCACAGAGGTGGAGTTGGGGAATAGTGGAGAGTATCTGTGCTGTTCCCGAGATCTCTGCCCCTTTCCCTGAGCAGACCACAATCCTGGAAAGAACAGATCAGAAGTAGGAGAGAGCCTACAGATGGACCCAGCCTCCGCATTCGACCAAGAATGACAGTCCTCCACGCTCTTACCGAGACTGCTATGTGCCAGACTTAAGCCAACTTCTTTTTTTTTTTTTGGAGAGGTTTTTGCTATAGGGCATGTGCGCTCACCAGACAGACAGAGACAGAGAGACAGAAAGCGAGAAATCACACCCCCCCCCCCAGGGATGGCCCCGCTGCAACGCGAACTGTGGTCAACCACATGGGAGTCCAGAGACATAGCCATTACGCTAACTGCTGGTCCCACTTAAGTCAACTTCTTTACCTGTGCATTTGATGGTATTTATGTCTCCTGACAATCCCCAGGAAGACTATCCCTGCTCTACACAGAAGAAAACTGAGCCTCAGCTAGGATAAATGGACAGGAATAAAATTGCAAAAGGCAGAGAAGCCCAAGCTATCCTTGGGGTAGTTCCAGCCTGTTCATTTCCTCTATGCCACTCAGCTCAGCCCAGAGAGCTGGGAGGAGCAGGTGATGGGAGTGGAATCCCACCTGTCAAGGTCATGTCCTGGTGTTGGCCCCTGGATCCCCTGGCTGTTCCTAATCTTGTGAGTGTCTCTGGCCCGTTTGGGCAGCCACCTGAATGCCTGGGGTCTGAGTGGCCCTGTGTGGATGCAGTTCCCTTGGCAATGGAAAAACACCGCTGAGGTCCAGAGCTCAGATTACAGAGGGGAAGCCCAGCCCGTTTCCTCCCATGGCCCCTTGCTGGGAAGCGCCATAGCTATCCCCACTCCAGTCAGATACCCAGGGCCCTTTCCAGTAGCAGAATCATGGGTGAGAGGAAGGGGCATAAGTGGCCCAGCCAGGATTCCTGATGGGAAGTGACTTTTGAGACTTCTGTCCTGACAAGACACTAGGCTCATGACTCCCTCTTCTTACTGGACATCTTCCAGGAAGCCAGAGCCAGCTTAGGTCTGCCCAGGCCTCCAAGATCCCCCAGGACCTAGGGAGGACATAGATAGGCAGGTCACCCCTCAGCTCGGCTTGCCTATTTTGGAGACCTCAAAAACAAGAAATCTCTGCATGAACTCCCTAACCTTACCTAGCCAGGCCGTGCTCAATCCAGGGCCTTTTAGGTGTTGCCAAGGAAACAAGCTCAGCAGCCAGGAAGCTTGGCCCAGGTCTCCATGACAACCTACAGGAAGACGGCCCACCACAGTCCATCCGTGATGTCACCTGAGCCCTGAATGGGTGCCCTCGTGTCCCCATCACACTTGTTGACAAACCTCAGAGTCTGAGAGCAATTTCCTGTCACAAACTACGTCACAGCTTGTCTACCCCTAACCTTCACATGCCCAGAGATGGGCAGTGGGGGCTAGTTCATGGTGCTCACTTTGTAGCTGGGTACTCTGAGACCGGGAGAGGCAGGGCTAGAAACCAAGTCTCCCCATTACATCTCCTTCCCTCCATGCCCGGGACTGAGGGGTATGAGTTCTGGGCAGTCATGGCACAAAGCAATAGACACTCCTACTCTGATCAAGCCCCACATTTGCGCCCTTTCTGGGTGGGAGTCTGAACCTCCAAGCCCTGAATGTGTCCCACAGCCCAGTCCGGGGCTACAGGAAAGGAGGGAGACCTTGAAGACTAATGTGGCTGCAACTGCTGGCATCTGACACCCGTCTGCCTGGATCTCCCCTACCCTGGGCAACTTCCAGCCCAAGAGCAGAATGACCATGCCAGGGGCAGATATTTTTAGCAGGGTTGCTGGCAGCTGCTGGAGGTGCTGGGAGATTGAGTGGAGACCCATCTCATCCTTTCTCTTCTCTGGGCAGGTGTTTCCTTCCCAGAGCTCAAGCCTGCACCTCCAATCAGCAGCACTCTAAGGACCCCAGGAGCTCTGGGATGACACCGACCCTCACCCTGAAGGGCAGGCTCTTTAGGGAGAAACTTCAACTCCCAGGGCAGGAAGGGGAGCGGGAAGGACCAGGTGTTGAGGCTAGAAGCCCCAATTTAGGAACCCTAAAGTCTAGCTCAGACCTAGGTTTGTAGGGAGTGGCCATCATGGGCAGAGAGGGGTGACTGTCCAGTACAGACTGGACTGGACAACAGGCCAGGACTAGCGGAGATCGGAGGGAGACTACACTATTAAAAGACCAAACCTAATTCTTCCCCAGAGAGGGTCGTGATTGCACTTGGCTGGCGGGGCTTACCGCCTGCCTTCCTCCTCATGCCCCCTCCCCACTACCTTACTCCCTCCTCCGCCCCTTGTCTGCCAGGCCTGCTCCTTTACTCCCGGACAGCTATTCGCCCCGCCCCCGGGAGGTGGGGCGGGGTCTCGGGGAGAGGGGGTGCGAGGTCCCAGAGCGAGGGTGGGGATTCCCCTGGAGGGGGGATGGACACGTCAGCCCCCGCAGCACAG